GGGGCCACCCAGGTCGCTGGTTTGTGATGCTGTATTTGGGGGTGGGGTCAGAGAGGGAGCAATGGCACTCCTCTCCACTCGCCCAGTCCACCTCACCACTTGCCCCCCCCCCACAGTCTGTTTATCTGAGCGCAAATGTGCGAGCCCACTGCCCTGCGCTGCACAGTCTCAATGCTCGCCTCTTCACTGGTTTATCTGCATGCAAATGCAGGACTGACCACAGCCAGCCAGCTGTGCCTCTTCCCTGGGTCCCACCCATAGCTCACCAGCACCTGGGATCTGCACCCTCAGCTGCCTGTGCACCGCCTGGGTCAGGGGATCTTTTTTGCTGGCTTCGCCCCTCTCACCAGTTTAGCTGAGCATTTTGTTGTTTTCGGACTCTACATTGTCAATTTTCTGTGTGGTTTGGTTGCATTTATTGTTGTTAAAACTTTATTATTTTTAGATTTGGTTGTGCGAGGATGCAAAGTGATTCCACCTACGCCTCCATCTTGGTGGAAGTTGGCCCACATTTTTTTCTTGCCCATGATTTAAATACCCAAACACAAATATTAGTTACCTTTCTAGGGAAGTATGGTGGGTTCTGGCATCAGGTGACTGGGTTAGTAGTGGGATCTCAGGCAACTTAGTTAACATCTCTGTACTTCGTTCTCCATATTCACAAAATGTGGATAATAATAATGCTTACATGATTGAGTTGTTATGAGAATTAAATTAGACAACCTATGCAAAGCACTTAGACACTAAACAAAACATAACCCATATTCAATAAATGTTAGCCCCTTTAACTAGTATCCTGCTGCCCGTATGGCTGTATTAAATAAAATATAAACACTACAAATGGCAGTACTTACTCTTTGAGAGTATGCCTCCCTTACATAAGCTACACTTATTTTTCAAGTTTGTATGTTCCAGAGAATTTTTTAATATGCAAAGTGAAAGTGTAGCTGGGTGCAAAATACAAAATTAGAGACTCAATTTTTTACAAATAAAAGTATTGACTTAAAAAATATCTTTGAGCCCTCCTGAGCTAGAAAAAAATCAATATAGCATATGTATTCATCAGCTATTCCACAATGATACTGTATAACAAGCCAACCCAAAATTCACCGCCTTGCAACAAAAATATTTATTCTCATGATCACAGGTTTACATGCTGACTGTGGCTCAGCAAATATAAGTTGTCCTCTGCTAGGCAGTTCTGTTTCAAGATGTGAGTTGCCTGGACTTAGCTCCAAAGTGTTGCTTGGGTTCAAGTCTGATCCACATATCTCTCATCTTCTTTAAACCAGTGCTGACGGGCTTTCTTCTCAGGCAAATGTCAGGAACACAAGTCCCAAGTTCAATTATGTAGCATGTGTAAGCCCTCTGCTAACATCATGTCCACTAATATTTCATTAGCCAAATAAAGTCCCTTGGAACCAAGTCCAACGTCTGTGGAGCGGGAAATATTCTCTGCCTACAGTGGGAGATCAGAGATGTATAATCCATGACAGTGCTGAAGAATTGGGATCTATAATCCAATCTTCAAACCACTGTGTTTCAATCACCTATGCTTTATTCATGTCCAGAAAGCTTGAGACCTATAAAAGAAATGGTAATAGTACGCCAGCAGGCAGCAAGCATCAGGTTGTTTCCCTAGTAGCGGGAACGTATTTACTCTAGTTTACTTTCCATCCCCACGCGCAGTTCACAAAAGGAACCAAAAATATCAGGAAAGTAATTTGTGGCAATGACATTGAGATTTTGCCCTTGGAAAACTCTTCCATATAGTATTACACATGGACTGCATTCTTACCACCATCCAACCAATGGTACATTCCTTCCACTTCCATGAAGTTACATTGCAGCAGGAGTCTCTTATTCTTATTTCTATAAAAATTTCTGAAGAATCTTACATTTAGTATATGCTCAATATATATGGGTTGAAACACTGAGGAGCAAGTTACTAATACTGGAGAAACAAAAAAGACACCACTACTAGAATTCTCACAGATTACTGTGCTTTGGGGCATAGGAAAGTAAAGTATAATGTAACATGCCATGTGAGTGCTGTGGAAATGTATCATCTGAAATAAATACATGGCCTTTTGGTATATTAACTAAGAATTTAGCTTCTGTGTGACAATTTTAAGCTAATGAAATAGCATGCCACTTTCCTATATTTCTTCACATTTATTATAAGCCTTTTAAATTCCTTCTAAAAACCACACATTTAGATTTCTCCATTTACTCAACTTTTACTATTTATGTGCTTCCTGTGACAATAGCTAGACAGACAAGACTGATAAAAGGAAAGATTGCCCATATCAAATTCTTATGGGTAACTGTGCAATGGGTTTTTTTCCCTATGAGTAGAAGCCCACTGTTTCACTAAGAACTCACCCATTTGAGGTATTTAAAATGGATGGAAAGTTATATGCTGGCCAAACCGTCTTTTTAAAAGAGAGTGAAATGAATGCTAATCTAATTGCCCAAGAATGCATAAACTGGGTTTTGAAAGCAAGACTTCTACACTGGTTCCCCCTGCTGGATTTGCAGATGAATCTCTTCGGAAATTGATAACAGCAATATAGCTGAACCTTTTCATTTGAGGGCATGTTACTCAAATGGCAAATCCAGCATTCTTCTAGAATGCACATACTCCATGATAAACATGTCAGGTGTCTCTTGAGTTTTCTGTCCAAAGGCATAAATACTATAACTAGAACACTGTGAAGCCAAGACTCAAAGTGGAAAACAAAAGCATGCCAGTCAGGAAGCCGCTTTAGGGAATGGGATGGCACGTGTGGATAAAAATAAAAACCCAGTAATAGTAGACTAGGAAGACAGCCAGATTGGTTTTTACCATTGTGAAGCTGGACTTGGGGTCTGACCATGAAAATACTTTTCATGCATTTGGAATGGCTGGAACCAATTCCTCGCTTTCCTATTAATTGTTGTTTCGCTTTTCCTTCTTAACTTCCTGTCTTCACAAGAAAGCTTTTTACCCCACTCCACAGAGCTGTTGTAATCAGCCTAATTTTAAAGGTAGCATGTCACCGTATGCTTCAAGCCTATTGTGGAAGTCTGTGCGAAATCTATCTGTCTTTTGGGTGAGACAGAAAAGTGGCATATTTTTTCCTGCTTGATTGAGAGTCTGTTTGATTAGGGGAAGAGGGGAACACTGACCTGTGTTCATGACCCATGCTCCTTCACCGACTTGGCCTTGTTAAGGGAGCAAGAGAGGCAGTGATGGCTATTACATTACTAGAGTAAAAGCCAATGCCATCGCCCACTTGGAGAACTGGAAGAAAGAAAATGTCAGATGATCTGTCGTGCTTGTAAAAACACTAGTGGAAATGTTAGATTTAGGTAGCTACAGAGCTGCCCCAGGTTCTCATAGTAAAGTTTATGCGGTGTCCCCTTCGTTGTCCCAAGTGACAAATGGCACAGTGCAGGGCAGAGGGAATTCTGTCTATACTTAACATATTCAGTGAGAGCATTCTTTCTCCGCTGAGTGTCACTGTTTTTATCTGTGTATTTATTTTTGCCATTCTATTATAAACCTTTTCTTCCATCCAGGTTACTTGCTTCAGTAGGCTATTTTTCAGAGCTGCTCAAGGAAATGTTTCTTCTTTGCATCTCCGAGGCTCTTGTTTCAGCTCTACTAGTTGAGGTCCCTGGGGAAAAACCATCCTCTTGCCCCTGGATTAAGAGCTGGTGGTAGTAGCAGATGGTGGGTCAAAGCACTCAAGCAAAACAAGGTTAAGTGATCTGGCCTGATTGTGGGTCACGGATTTTAAAAGGGCTCAGCTGGGTGATTCTTCTGTTCCTTTTGGTTTTGGCTGAGGCCGTCATTCAGCTGCATTCAGCTGGCAGCTAGGCTGGTTTAGAGGATGTTGAGAAGGTTTCACCCACATGGCTGGCCCTTCCATGCTCTGCCACATGGCTCTTCTTCTCTATGTGCTTCTCTCCGCTTGGTAGGCTAGCTGGGTGTCCTTACAGCATGATGGTTAGTTTCCCAAAGGGAGGAAGTGGAAGCTGCTAGTCTTCTACGGCCTCAGCTTGGAGGGTCCAGAACATCACTTCCACATTTTATTGGTCTAAACAATTTACAAAACCAGTCCTGACCAAGAAAAACGAGGGAAAAATTCCACTTTCTAAGAGACGAAGGATCTGTGGCATTTTCAACCCATAGGAATATATGCTGGTAACTTCTGCTTCTGTGTTTTATATACTTTGACTATATGTTTTATATTTTGTTTCTGTGTCTTTATGTAAATTTATCATTAAATGTTGTTTTTCCTAAACAAAAAGAGGTTTGGAAAGCCTCCCAGTAACAAGTTATAAAATATGCCTTTATTTGCCTTTGAAAAGTTTGTTTTTCTACACATAAATTCACTGATCTATATTATACATTTTAATCCAAAAGAGAAACTTTTAGCCAGTTTGTGTGTATAGGCACCATTGGACCTGCCCAGTTACTTATTTTTCAAGGATTTATGTACTATATGTACTATACCATAAACTGGACCAGAATAATTTGTTCAAGACAAAATATTTTATAGCATAGATTTGTTAGGCTGAGATGTATAGGTTAAATAAAAATAGACATTTTTGCAACATAGATCAAACAAATATAAAGGTCATAGAAACTTAACCAAGTTTTTTACACAGTGCACATTGCTTGAGTCGAAGGACAAAAGATTGGATTTAAAATCTGTATTGCATTTTGGGAAATGTTGTGCAAGTAGAGAGATGTAACTAGGACTGCTGAGTGAATTTTGTTTACTGCAGTTCAACATTTCATCAAGCAAATCGTGTGCAAAGGGACAGGTATAAATGCACCTATTTATGTAGGTAATTTTTCTGTTTCATGCCTCTGATTCATCTCTCTGCCTTGCTTTATGGGGAGTCATGCTACATTGGTTATTAATTTCAGTGCTGCATATTAGCAATAAAGAGATATTTCATAAATTGACTTGATGTAATTTTTTCCCCTGTGGTTTCCTTGAAAGATGAGAATGGTCCAGAGGGAAAACAAAGTGCAGAAGAAATGGAAGGGCAGAGCCAAGAAGCAGGTGGGCTCAGATTTCTTTTGAGGAGTCTCCTAGGCCTCATCCACAGAGGTGAACAATGACTTTACTCAGTGTTATTTTCTGAAAATGCTTATATTTTTTACCAGGTTAACTTCACTGTTCATTCAGGTACCCCTCAGGAAGCAACTAACACTATTAACTCTGAGTTAGGGCTTCCTATCAGAAGAGTACGTTGTCATGTCTCATTCACCAATTCCATTTTTCTTGCATGTAATAACACTTTGTTTAGTGATGACCTAAGAGGGGGGAGCAGAGTTTGAAGTGCCAAATAAGAGGTTGGCTGACCTAGGGCAGGTTAAAATGAGCAGATGCAGTTTGGACAAAAAAACAAATGAAACAAAAATGCTTAAATGAAATGAGTAAGATGCTTCACCTACACAAAGAGTGAAGTATTCTTTACTATTTTGCATTAAATTTTGAAGACCCATATTTCTGGTTATTTCTCTGCATGTTGTAGCTCATCTCCTACAACATAGGAGATAGTGCAACACAGCCTGACTCCTCCACACGAAGAGCTGAAGTGAGATCCAAAGCCTTCTCGACATCTCCTCCATCCATTAAGGAGCAGATGTGTCAGTTGGAAATATTAAAATAAAATAGCACTTAAGACTCAAAAGAGATTGTCATCACCTTCAATTTATCATCTCTTTCTACCCATTTTTGTACTCAGGTGTGTTCTCTTTCCAAAATAATAGACACAAATATGCAGCTATCAACCTGACCACCCAAATAAAAAATATCCTTCTTCTCTTTACTTTGCAAATCATTCTCCTGATTGTAACGAGCCCCACGGTGGTGGCGTTGGTGGTGAGAGAGCATATCTGAAGTGGGGGCCCTTTCTAATGTGTGCCATGGGACGTTTTAGGCCATGTGCTGAACTACTGAAAATAAACCAGATAGTGGGATACGTTTTTCACTGAAAACTTCCTACATTAACCTTGGAACTTTTGCAAAAGAACTGGAAGCTTTTATTATTAACCTGGAAGATGGAATTGAAGAAGGCCAATCAGAGAAAGCACTGAAGCAAGGCAGCAAAGACCTTGTGCGGCCGCTGCAGGGTCAGCGGGCTCCCTGTGCTGAAATGTAGTTCTTGCAGTGAAATGAATTCTGATACAGCAAACTGTTGTTATTCACACCCCCACCCCAGCCTCCAACCCACACATCATTATGCTCCATGGAAGATGAGTCTTATATGAAAAGCTGTCACTGTTTTTACTGTGTGGGGCTGATCAATATTAGTCAACGAACTGCTGACAGCTCAGGTCACTCTCTGAATGTTGAGGTTTCACGGGTTTTTTCACCCAATATTCAGTCCCGAACTGTCTTTATCAATATAGATTTTTTTCTATCCCTGTTTATACATACAAGTACGCACACATGCACATGTATATACATGCACACACATTTGCCTGTGTTTTATTTATTCACCCTTTTCCCTTAGTCATTTGGAAAGAGGCAGTTTCTTTCTTTTTTTTGATTTGGGTCATCTTGGCTGTTAGCAGGCAAGTAAAATGTAATCTCCCCCTGGGTCATCCCCGCAGTATGGGAACCTCTCAGTGTGAGGAAGAGTCCCAAATGCACACCTGAGAGCCTCCTCTTGATCCTCCGAACAAGACCACTGCCTGACATGGAGTCCCTGGCAGGGTTTATCTATGATCCACCAGTGTCCTCATGCCTTGTTATGTCCACTTTGCTCATTTCATATCCTCCCTAATCCACAAGCAAAGAAGCTGAAGATATGGTTCTGGTTATTAAAGCCTTTTTGACCTGCTGTTATTCTTCTAAAATGACATACTCTGTTTTTTATTCAGCATAATTTCTAACTTTAATTTTGATTATATAATTCTGCAGGCCTCATTCACTTCAAGAAAAAAACAGTCTCACACTAGCATGGCCCATTGGTTTTTACTGCCATCATACTGAAATCAGAAATTGTAGAAAATATTCTCCAGTCATATAACAAATGGGTACCAAGGGTCACAGGCACGGTCTGGGCACAGGGATACAGCAGTAAGCTATAAAGACAATATCGCTGCTTCCTTGAAGCTTGTAGTCTGGTGGGGAGAGTCCAAAAATAAACAATAAACAACAAAAAAGTAGAAAATGGTGACAAATGCTTTGCAGAGAAATGAAGTGATATAGCAGTAATACTATGAAGGCCACTTTCCACTGGCTAGACTGGGGAAGGCTCCCTTAGGAAGCAACAGTTAAAATGAGATCTAAGGGATGAGATGATGAAAGTGCATCCACATGGAGGAAACAGAATGCAAATGCCTTAGGCCAGTTTGGGTTTGGCACGTTGGTGAGAGAAGGCGGAATGGCTGGAGCACTGTGAATTGGAGGACCATGGTGTGGTGTCTGGGAAAGGGTCATAGTAAGCACATTACTTCTGACTGTATAAGATTCACTTTATTAGAACTACAAAGAGAAGCTGGTGGGAGTTTTTAAGTGGTGAAGAGACAAAGGTATGTTTTCATAAACTTGTTTTGCCTATGAGTTAAGATTGTCAAAAGAGCCAAAGTGAGGACTTTTGGAAGGCGACAGGAGGAATGCAGTGATGGTGGTTTCTGGAAATGGTGACAGAAATGAGCTGAACTGCGTTACATTCCAGAGACAGAGGCAACAGGATACGCTGATGGGTGGAGGTGGGGAAGGGAGCAGAGGAATCAGTCCCAAGTTTTTAGTGTTAGTAACTACGGTGATGATGGTGCCACTTACCGGAGGATACATGGAGAACTGGCCGCAGGGCACAGTGTTTGCTGAGAAAGTTAACAGCTCAGTCTTGGCCATGGTAAATCTGAAAAGACTCTTAGCCTATGGGATGTCAAAAAGCCAATTAGATATATGAGTCTGGATTTCTAGGGAGAGGTGTAGACCAGGGATACAAGTTTGAGATTCACCGGCATATAAATTATATGAGACTGAATAAGATTCAGCAGAGAGAACACGTCACTAGAGAAAACAGTGAGACCTGGGACACCATCACATCTACATATGTGGTAATGGGGAGAAGGAACAGCCACAGCAAGAAAGTGTTTCAGAAGGAACCAGGCTAAAGAAATGCTCCTGAGAAGTCAAGTAAGATAAGAAAAGAGAAATGACCAGTGGACTTGGCAAAGGGAGGTCACTGGCACCGTTGATAAGAGAATTTGTGGAAGAGTTGAAGCCAATGAGAGTGGGGTATGGAGAGACTGTGAAGTGAGGCAGTACGGAAGGATAACACACGCTGCTCTTTTAGGGGGGTTGCTGTGAAGGGAAGTAAAGAAATGGGAAGATGTGACATCAAGGTTAATAGTTTGTTCTATGTGTTTTTAATAGAAGATTGTCACTTAAAAAAGAAAGTGATTCATCCTCTTCAGTTATGCCTCTACTAAAATTTTTATTCTCTGTTCCAATAGAGACATGGCCTAAAAGTAATAGTCATATACATTATGAACAAAAGATAAGTTAGAAAGTGTGTGATTTGCTTTTAATTGTTAGTTGCTGTGCATGTATGTATGAATCTTTAGCTCCATGACCATGCTACTGCATATATATATATATGTATATACATAAATATATGCATTTCTTTTCCAGTTGTCAAGAATTAACCATTTCAGATGCTTTTGATAATCCTTCATGTCTTAAATTCACCATGTTAATGTTAGTAAGTTAATTATCCATCATCCTAGAGGCCTAGAAGTTTCAGACACTAGTGGAATCAATCACTGGGGTGCCAATGATACTGAGAAGACAGATCAGCTCTGAAGAGGTTAATTCCTTCTGTAAGGGGACAGGGGCCTCCAGGTTTCTTATTCCCCACTTGTGCTTGGGTGACGTGAAATCTCCAAGGGCTCCCGGTGCTTTCCTACATGCGATGCCCTCTCTGGGCCTCCGAGCCAAGGACCATCAGCCGTGCACCCTGCGGTTTGAGGCCAGCTTAAAGGAGCAGATGTGTTGTGCCAAGAAAAGCACTTTGTGGAAACTTTCAAGAACATACTTTCTTCCATGATCTGTTACTAAGAAAAATAATGTACTGTTCTACTAAAGGTGGAGAAGAAGCAAAACGCCATAGTAGAACAGTACCAACAAATAGCATTTTTCACACACAAACAATAGTTTTTAGTTCACTGGGTTCTCTTAACTGAAGGTTTCTGTCTCATTGATTCTAAAAGGGACTCGTAAACCGCCCATCCCTTCAGACACCTTTGGGAGCGTTTAGGTGTGCAGCAGGCTCCTGCTTCCTGTGGTGCCCGGGGAGGGAGCAGAGCAGGCCTCGAGGCTTGACAGTGTTACCTCTGAGACAGTCTCTCTTTTTTGCTTTATAGATGGTGTCAATGCTGCTACTGTGCACAGCCCTGCTTCAGAAGAGGCAGCTGAAGTCTGTAAAGATGAAGGTACGAGGCTACTTACTACACCTAAAAATCATAAACTCTTAGGAGACCATTTGGGTTTCCTTTATATGGAAAAAGGAAGCAGAGAGCAGAGTCTGTCCAATCCTCATTAAGCATTTCCATTTCCCACACAATCAAAGATCTCACCCACTCGGTTTTATTTCATATCTGCCTTTTTCAGAATGTATCTGTACATTTACATTTGTTTTTCTGAAAAGTGACTTTGTGAAACAAGAGAATGATTGGAGAAATTATGTTTCAAGATATTTAAACAGAATTAGGCATTTCTGCTGTTTATAGCTACTCATCAGGAATAAGTTCAAAAGAGTTGGTATCTGGGAAACACCTACTAGGGCTTCACTATCCAGACATAAGAAAGAAGAAATCTTTGACAGGCCTCCTTAGAAAAAAACCTTTGGCAAGAGCATGAATCCTCATTCCATGGACAATTACTATGAGGAAATGCTGCTGATTCAAGTATCTCCAGAGGAAGCAAAAACTAAATTTGATTTAGATTCTAGAAGACAATATGAGGGAAAAATAGTGAGGACTGAGGACATTCATGTGTGGATGATAGAGGTATATATATATATATATATATATATACACATATATACACACACACACACATATATATACATATATACATATATATATACCTCTTTTTCTCTGGATTCCATATATAATATATAAGTGACTGAAAAAATAAAATTAACTATGCCCACAGAAGAAAGATAATAATATTTATTTTTAAGTATCTATTTTTCAATTTTATTTTTTTAATATTTTATTTATTTATTTATCTTTAGAGGGGAAGGAGAGAGGGAGAGAAACATCAATGTATGATTGCCTCTAGTGCACCCCCTGCTGGGAACTGGCCTGCAGGGAACCTGGCCTGAAATCCAGGCATGTGCCCTGACTGGGAATCAAATCGCGATCCTCTGGTTTGCTGGTCCGTGCTCAATCCACTGAGCTACACCAGCCAGGCCTCAATTTTATTTTTAATTACAGTTTACATTCAATTATTTTGTATTCAGGTATACAGCATAGTGGTTAGACAACCATATACTTTAAAAAATACTATTCCCAGTCAGGACGCATGCCTGGGTTGCAGGCCAGCTGGGGACGCATGAGAGGCAACCATACATTGATACTTCCCTCTCTCCCTCCTTCCCTTCCCCTCTAAAGATAAATAAATAAAATTTATTTTAAAAAATGTTCCCCTTGAATGGGATGATATAATAGTTACCACAGTCTTACTGACTGTGTTCTCTATGCTGCACCTCACACCCCATTACTATTTTGTAACTACCAATTCATAGCTCTTAATTCCTTCACCTTAGGTAATATTATTTTATATCTGTCACTGATAACTACTAAAAAATGCTTCTGCTATATTTATACAAATGGACATCTGGTAAATCACGTGATCTACTTGGAACTTTTGGATACATTTGCTAAATGTATTTCTTCAGTTTGGAGTGATATGAAAATAAACCCATAGTAGATAACTGATACTAGTTACTCCTTGAATTAGTGTTTACAAAACCAAAATTATAATGCTCAGCTATTTACATCATTCATTTCATTTCATGTTTCCTGGTAAATGGGTTTTTCTAAATCAAGGGTCCTGTGCAGTGAGGGAGTCTGAGATTTGTGAAGGCTGCCTGTAGCTGGCATCGTCTGCATTGTTATTTCCAGGGGGCCCTTGTCTTGTTCACTGTGACTTTTTAAATGATTCCCTTCCCACCTCCCTTCATCTGCTCAGATTTGTGTTCTGACATTCCTGCTTTTATCTGATATATCTATCCCTGGTGGTTTGATACATTTAAAGCTGCAGATAATGTCAGATATCCACACCCATTCTGATAAGAAACTCAAGGTCATCCTACAAACAAACCTGACCAGAAAAGACAGAAAGTGGTGTTCCTTCTAAGTAAATAATTTTGGACATTTCAATTATTTAGGTGTGATAGAATTTTTTCTGATGTCATGAAGTTGAGTGGTGGAGTTTAGGAAACAAGAAAGATCATCTAATTTAAATGTTTCAAGCTGAGATTTCTCCTGTTGAGTTGTTTGGTTTGGAGATATCACACCTTTATAAAAACGCATTATTTGTGGTGTTTCTTGATGCTTTTATGATCTCACACCATTAATTGCTCATGCCAGGATCAATTTCTCAGAATACTTTCAGAATTTTTTTTTCTACAGGAAACTTGTAATGGTGGTAGTTCCAAAGAGTTCTGCCACCTATTATATAAATGCAGCTCCCCAGTAATGAGTAAATGTGAAGTTTCAAGGATTTTACACAACTAAATCGCTAATATCCATTTACATCTTGATCTAGGGAAAAGAAAGTGTTTTAAAATCCCCACTAGCATGTAAGTCACTGTAAATAGAACATATAGGATATGCTCTTTGCTTTGTCCTTCCAAAATGCATGTACCACTGATTTTAATTGACTATCAGTCCAAAGCTTAGACCAAGTGTTTAATGCTTATAGGACTGCTGTCCTGACTGATAGATACTTTGCTTAGAATGAAAAAGGAATGAATTTGCCATTGAAATTCCCCAAGATTGAGGTCAAATTGAGGTTAAAAGGCAGGCATATAGGTTGGTGACTTATTTCAAATATTCACCATTATTAGTTTCTTGCAGAAATATAAGTCCTTGGTGACAACCGAGCTATTTAGGAGCTCTGCAGTAATAAGATTGCTTATAAAAATGTATATCACATCCTTTGATTTAAATGGCAGAACTTGTTTGCTGACCAAAGGTCCTGATGGAGCCCTTGCTCTCGTGCTTTTGTTTCCAGGCTTTGATCCTGACCCAGCATCTTCTTGGGTTTGGAGCAACCAATCTAAGGAACTGCCTTTTCCTCTCTGTCTTTCAAATATAATTCCCATAGATTTTGAGATTCATCAGTTATTTCCAGCTTTGCTTGTTGGTTGTCTGGCTTTACATTTGTTATAACTTTGGTTCCTGTGGGAAACTGGTGCCTCTAGGGTGCAAGGGCTGAAAATAAGCAAATCAAACAAGAGCTGGCCAATGTGGCTTGGTTTGGGAGATAAGATTTTTTTAACATTAAAAAAGTATGTAAACATTGAATAACTTCAAGAGGAAATATCTTCTGGGGTGTCTTCTATGGCAGTGAATTTGTTCCAGTGTTCTAAACAAGTTTCTCACTGGGTACCCAGAATGTATGCTTATTGCCCATGTACCTCACGTAAGTGCATACAGTTGAAGCTGCTGACAGAGGAAGTACCACTGAGTGGTTTATGTCTCAGGAGCTAGATTGTGAGCTATGGACTGAAGACACCTGTTTCCAATAGTTAGTACAGCCCTCAGATGGGCAGGAGCAGAGTTTGAGAGAATGAGATGTGAGGAGGAGGAATGTGGATGCAATTCCTCAATCACACAGGGTACCTGCCCTGGGTACAGCAGCCAGGACTGGATTGAAATGAACTCCAAGGTAAAGCTGGCTTGAGAAATTAAGAGAAGTTCTAAGGTTGTTTGTAAAAATACAGTATATAGCCCTAGTTGGTAAAAATTCAGTGCATTGAGCACAGGCCTGTGAATAACAGGGCTGCCAGTTTGATTCCCAGTCAGGGCACATGCCTGAGTTGTGGGCCAGGCCCCCGGTCAGGGGCCTGGAAGAGACAACCACACATTGATGTTTCTACCCCTCTCTTTCTCCTTCCCTTTCCCAGCTCTCTAAAAATAAATAAATAAAATATTTTAAAAAATACAGTACTCATCTGTTGAGAGATTTCTTTCTCTAGTGGTAAAAATATTGATTTAATGGCTGTTTGCACTTTAAATCCTTAAAAACAAATCCAGAAGTTCAAACCTTAAGGCTATTTAAGTTACCAAGTACACAGGCAATCAGATAAAAAGGAGTATAAGCACAGGAATAAAATTTATATTAGGAATATCAAGTACTCTGGTTGAAACTGCTATAAAGTTATTGTTATTATGACTATTATTATTATTATTGTGTGAAGTATAGCCAATCTCCTTAATTCAAGGAGAACACTTTGTTCTAGCTGCATCAGCACTCAGAATAGTTCATCCCCACACATAGGCAAGGCCAAGGCACTTTGGGGGTGCAAACTGCTGTTTAAACATCTCCATTCTCCTGTCTTAGTATTTAATTACCCAATTTTAATCTGAAGGTCAACTAGAACAAATCATATGCTCATTAATATTAAAGGCTAAATCAATTAATAATCAGGTGCATACACAACGAGCTGCTATTCCTTTGGAGCTTTGTATAAGTCATGCCATTGCTGTTTATGAAGTGGAATGTTACCCTGCAAAGGATTTCTTAACCTTTGATCTAAGTTTACGACCTCTTGGAGGTCAGATTGTCTATAGAACAGGGAGAGAAACACAGTAGGAATCAGCCTTGACAAAGACAGCAAAGGGAACGAAAGAGGTTACGTATGAGGAGGCAGATCTGAGAGGGTATGAGAGATGAACGTAAATGTTCCCAATCACATATCGCTGCAAGCCTTGGCCAGTGGGGTGGGCTCCAGATGACTCTAAACCTTGTCTCTGTCCCTTGTCTAAACCTTTGGGGAGAAACAAAACATCATGCTGCCCATGGAATTCCCCTCAGGCTTCTCCAAGCTGATTTTTCTTCCTCTTGCTGGTGTCCCCTATCCCTCTGCTACTTGTCCTCCCCACTACCAGCAAAAGTGAGGCAGAGCTGCCCCCCATCTGAGAGCTGCTCTGAAAGGGTGTCTGGATTCCTTGCCATACCTGGGTCCTCACGTCTGAATGAGTCAAAAGTGTGGAATGAAAGCGGCTGCCCTCTGGCAGTTCAGTGAAAGGGAAAGAACCAAGATATACAGAGTGTCTCCTATACTTGATGCTTTACATTTAAAGGTACCATGTATTTTTCATTTTATAAAAGGGTAACCTGAGACTCAGGAAGGAGAGAGAGAAAGGTGTGTGTGTAGAGGGTGGAGAGAGAACTACTTCATTAAGGTTGACTCCTT